ACTTTATTGTACATAATTCTTTGAATTAAGCCGGACTACGGCCATTCACAGCTCTCAGTATCGACGCGACATCTCCGGAACCGCCATGCCGAGTCAGAGCAGAAGCCGCCTCACCCGCAAGTACACGACAGCTTTTGTAAGGGCCGAAGAGCCTGCGCACCGGTGCTTCCAATCACGCCGCAATCAGCCCGTCACCTGCAGACAATACAGCGGCAACACACATACACAGACAGAAGGACTGACAGGGACATCACAAAGGCACTATGAATGCTGAAAGCTATATAAAGGTTTTAGAGCAACATATGCTCCCATCCAGACGACGTCTATTTCAGGGAAGGCCTTGTGTATTTCAGCAGGACAATGCAAAACCTCATACTGCAGCTATTACAACTGCATGGCTACATCGTAGAAGAGTCCGGGTGTTGAATTGGCCTGATCTTTCACCTATAGAGAACATTTGGCGCATCATTAAACGAAAAATGTGTCAAAGACGACCACGAACACTTCAGCAGCTGGAAACCTATAAGGCAAGAATGGGACCAAATTCCAACACCAAAACTCCAGACACTCATAAACTCGATGCCCAGACGTCTTCAAACTGTTTTGAAAAGAAGAGGAGATGTTACACCATGGTAAACGTGCCCCCGTCCCAACTATTTTGAGACCTGTAGCAGGCATCAAATTTGAAATGAGCTCATTTAGTGGATAAAAGTGTAAAATTTCTCCGTTTAAACATTTGTTATGTTATCTATGTTCTATTGTGAATAAAATATTGGCTCATGTGATTTGAAAGTCTTATAGTTTTCATTTTATTCAAATTTAAAAAACGTCCCAACTTTTCCGGAATTCGGGTTGTATATAGAGTTATTTCCTATTTAGGTTCAAGCTAATAAATTTAACTAATTTATTTTCCTTTTATTTTTATATATATATATAATAAAGCTAATTTTTACCTATTTATATGACTGTTCCTAATTAACCTATTTAGTGCAAAGAATAATTCAATTTTAGCTACAATTCTTCCAACCTGTTACCCTTTGAATTCTCCTTTCAACTCTCGTTCTTCAGAAACAAAATAGGAAAAATGCAAAAATACAATATTCAATCAGATAAATTAAAGGGAAATAATTAAAATAAATAAAACACAAGAGGACTTAAAAAAAAAACAAAAAAAAAAACAGTGAAAATGAAATCACACTAAATCCAATTTAGTGCTCGCTCAACCAACAGTTTCAATATATCTCAGGTTACCAGATTTCAGCTTCAGTTTGGTGATGCTTTCGCGAGATCCTTCTTCCGCAGTTCAGGTTTAATCAACACAGCTCAATCAGGAAAGAAACGTGTGCACAGTCCTACCACTCAGCTCATTTCCTTGATCCAAAACTCGGTCCTTATATGGGCATGGCTCGCCAGTTCCCGCTCACAATGGTTTCCTTTCAGATGTGAAACAGGGACAAAACACGTGTGAAATCTTCGTCAAACTTGTCCAGCATCCAGGAATGCAGGGCTCTAGAGTGCGACCATTTTGGTCGCACATGCGACCAAAATTTGTAAGGGTGCGACAAGAATTTTTCCTAGGTCGCACCAGTGCACCTAACGTTCTCGCATGATCGCATCCGCTGCCTCTCCACAAACGAGTATTTTGTTCTCCTTGCACGCATGGTTGAATCATATCGTGGTCTAAACCAATCAGAGATAGAGATTGGGCGGGTCTTTGCCTCTGATTGGTTGTGGTTCAGATGTTCCTGTAGGACTAAAATGCTCCGTGCTGTGTGATTGAAATAAATTGCGACCTGTCACCTGAGCACCAGAGAATCAGTTACGGCAATCAGCAGCATCAGCTAAATAAACGCAGGAAAACAGACGACGAAGAAACTTTTAAAAATGTAGGCTACTTGAACTAGGTAAAAAAAATATTGATTTCTCGATTTTAATCAATTCTCGTTGATTTTTACGAACCGTTGGTCTATGCTGTTTTCAGTTGATGAATGAATGGAACATTGTAGCGAGCATCCCATCCAATAAATCGCAATAATCTTTGTGCTTTGTTACTATTGATATGAAACAAAGTCTCAGATTTCAAATTAGGTCCATTTTCTTACGAAATTCAAAAACATAAATATAGTGTATTGACGCTGTGGCGTGAGATCGCTCTGGCTCTGCTCAAGAGAAGCATGATTTTCTCTTCCGCCTTAATAATACCAGTTACAGCGCGAAATAAACATGAACGAGCATCTGAAAGTGTGTTAAAAGATAGAGTACAACTTATCGAAATCCGTATCTTTCACATGGAATCGCTCAATCAGTGTTTCAACCGTGGAAACACGTCAGTAAAACGCTTGTAAACAATGTCATGTAACGTCACATTTACCTCAGAAAAAAACATATCCAGTGCCCATAAACTCGGTTAGCTAGCTAGAAAAATTAACTCTAGAGGAGCATTGTGCCTAATATATGGACCATATTACATATTCATTATAATTTTTTATGTTTTTCAATATTTACTGCATGTTGTTCGAAAAAAATCTGGCAAGTTTTTATGCAGCCACCATTTAAATGTTTATATTTCATATAACTTTATTATTATTAAAAAAATAATAATAGTGTAATTTAGGTGTTTGTGTACAAATCAGGTAATTTTTACCTTCAATATTATAGTAGGCTAATGAAGCATAGTGGGCTACAACTGACTCCCAGTTTACAGCATTAGTTGAGATTTGTTTTTCTTGAGAAAATTTGCCATGTATTGTACCTGATATCCAAAATAATCAATATTGAATCGAATTGTGAAAAACCCTGCCCTAACTTGAACAATGTAAAAACAGCACTTTGATTTTTTTTTAAAGATTTATATTTTTATTTACAGTATAATTGTGCTTTCGAATAAAAAATTAAAAAACTACACCTTATTCTTGTTTAAAAGCATTTACATAATATATATGAATATATGGAGCGTGATAAAAAGGTGACCTTGAAATTGTGGCGTTAAAGGCGACGCGAGACGAGGAAAAATTTGAGTGCACCTAAATTTTGTGCTGGTGCACCTAAATAAAAAAGTTAGGCGCACCAGTGCAACCAAGGCAAAAAGTTAGTCTGGAGCCCTGGAATGTGCAGCGTCCATCTCAGAAAATGGACAAGGAAGGGTGAAATAGAATAAAAGTGTCCAAAAAGAAACAAGGGGAAAGAAAAAAACCCAACCAAGAGAACTCAATTTGATTATGAAGATTTTCAAAGGCAAAACTTCCACTATAGGCCCGAATCCTCTGCAGCCTACGTGTAATCAGTCACACACGTTCACCTGTACTCATTTACCGATGAAACTCAATCTTCACTTCAGTTTCAAAGTCTCTCAAATGTTATTTGTCCAATACAACCGATAGTTGTTCTTCGTTCTAATTCTAATTTTCTTCTCTTTTCAGGATCACGCAATCTGCTTCGCCATCTGCTTCTCTCTCTCGCAAGGAGTGTTTTTTTTTCCATATCCCGTTTTGGCTCCACCCATTAAGGCGGGGCTCATTCCCTACTCATTTATTTAGAATAATAATCTAAATGAATTTAAATTTATGCATTTTCTCACTTTTCCTCTTCCAAGATATTTAATAAAATAACTTGACATATATTCATGTTAAGTGTTAGTCTCTTTTTTTTTTTCCTTATGTCAACAGTGTCTCTTTAGTAACCTGGGTTACACAAAGCTTACAGTTTAAACCAAAACAGACAAGAAATGGAGGGAAATAAACAGATAATGTAAAGTTTCCATCTTCCTCTTCCCATGAAATGCACAAACTTGGTAGTAAAAAAAACAATTAACATCTCAAATGCTTTACAATTTTTTTTCTCTTTTCTATATTTTTGTCATAACAAAGTACAAAGAAAAACATTGACATTCAAACATTTCAACAAAGACGTTCCATAGTAGCAAACATCTGAAATCTATAATAAAAAATCATTGTTGTCAGTGACCTTCATTCCAAGTAAAAGGCTTGCGCAGCAGCCAGTAACAGTTATATCAGTTATATGTAACACATATTTGGCCTTTTGTAGCTGCTTCAAATCACAGTGCAGTTCAGTAGTTATAAATGAATGTAAACAAAATATTTGATATGTCAAGATCATGTTTACACAAATAACCAATAATCGGACTGATGGCTAAGTTGGATTGCAAACCCTTGTAAACACCTCAATGGATGCGAATTAAATTTAGATTGGATGGAGATCTGAAATAACCTGGTAGAAAACTAAACATGTAAACACTTGAATCTGATGAATGTTCTCATTCGGATTCAAAGATACCATGCGTACATGTGCAGTGCTGTGATGTGTGTATGTTCACTTGAGTTTTATACGCTATGTTTATTGTATGTTTATGAACTGATCAGTGGAGGAGACTTGACGTTTGTCAATTTTCTTTTATGATATGTAATCAAGGCAAAAACGGCAATTATACTTGCAATTAGACTTCTATAAATATATTAAACTTTGGCAGAATTATAATGTTAATAAATGTGGAGAGGTGTCCTCACATCTGTGAATACGGTCCATGCACAAGTAAAAGAAAATGAGAATCGGATTGTAACATTTGGGCTTCATATAAACAGAACTTTAAGATTTTTAAATTGAATTTGGATTTAGTTGGACTGTCACTGCAAAAATGAGTGCATGTAAAGATTCCTACAGTATGTCTTACAGTGTAAATGCTTCTGCTAATGATTGAAGAAACAGCAACACTGGAGAGACAGAGATAATCATGCACTGTTTCTGTCTGGATCATTTAGCAGCCTCTAATAACCCCTCCAGTTACACACTGGAAATCCTCAAGCACTCTTGGTTTCACTGCTGGTGATGGGTTGCTGTGTTCAACATTGGTATTGAGTAGAAATTTAGTAAACAGTGACATTTTACTGCTATTGACTACTATTGGCTTCTTCCACTTCCTCCCCCCACCCCCCAATAATTAAAATTAAAATAATAAATAATGTTACTGTGAAATCCCAGTAGTCTCAAGTCTCACTAGGAGATGTCCCATTATCAGTAGCCATCAGTTCAGTCTCAGTTTCATTATCATCATCCCTCTGTGGAGTCACAGTTCTCTGATTAGGGGACATTTGTTCTGTAACATCCTCCTCCTGAAGGAAAAGAAACAAATTCACAGAAGGTAAAACAAATTATCAAGATTGATAATTCAGTTACACAAACACAGAAAAGTATTTTTCTCTCTGATGTTTGCTGAATGTAAAGACCCTGTTCTTCATTCTGAAGTCAAACAACACAAGTGAAGCGCTCTCTTAAATAAGTCTGTAATTATTGTTTCTATGTAATTATTTCTAAGCTCAAACAGATACACACCAATGACAGTTCTCACAGATCTGAATCAGTAGTAAATTCACGGTGTTTTGCAGACAGAGATTCAGAGCTCACAGTATCTCACCTGATCATGATCATCTCGCGGTGTCCCGTTTCCTGTTTGAACTGTAACAACAAACTCTTACTTTGGTCAATTAGAATAAAAATACATACTTTTACATATTTTTAAAGATTTGTTTTGTGCAATAAATCTCTTATTTCCATTTTGTACAATCAGCTGTATATAATACTTGCGTTGTTGTTTTGATCTGTAGAGACAGTAAATCACAGCAGCAGCAGAAGCCAGCAGCAGAACAACAGCAGCAACAGCACATATTACTCTTACAACACTTATTCCTGCTATAGCAGCTGAAGACGGACCTGGATCTGGAACAGCTGAAGACACACAGACAGTATTACTGGAGATCAACTGATAATCAACCAATCTACCAATACTTTTGAATAACATTTACAACTTTCTGCTTTGGTAATCAGTTTTACGATACTGATTTAATCAATAAAATGTGCCTTCTGATTCTTATGAGCTTTAAGCAGATAAAACAGCATCAAGGACTGTGAGTTCAGGAAAACCGACTGATATTATGTATGTAACATATGAGATTATGTTAATAACAAAAGACAAAACAAAGACAAACACAAAATTGTAAGTCTGTTGTGAAGGTGATAGAGATGATCTAAAATTGTATTGTAATTTTGAGGCAAATATCACTTTTTTTAAACAGGCCACACTGAAAACATTGACTGTGTTGATGTAAATATATTAAACTGTATTCTAAAATTGCTCGAGGGAAAATACACTCAATAACTCAATGAGACTCACCAGTGACAGAAAGACTGAAGCTCCTAATGACACTGAATCTGCTGTTGTTGATCTGTAGTTTATATTCTCCAGAGTCTGTGTTTCTGGTGTTTGTGATGATCAGAGATCCAGTCTGATGATCCAGCTTCAGTCTGTCTCTGAATCTCTCTTTACACTGATCATCTGTACAGATCTTACTCTGATCTCCAGTGATTTCAGCGATGAGACTGTCATCAAAATACCATGTGATCAAATCATTTCGTTTTTTTATTACACCAGGATCTAAAGTAACAGATTCACGTGTGTGTGCGTGCGTGCGTGCGTGTTGGTCTTGACTTCAAAGCAACAGTCTTTAAAGCAACATTTATCCATGGTTTTGCAGTAGTAATAGTAATTTCACATCAAATCCTCATTTAAACAGATGATAGGTGATCTGAAGACAGCATTAGATTCTGTAATCTGTTTATAATGATGTAAACTGAGCTAACGCTAAACATTACACTTTAACAGCAAATACTGTATGCTTTTAAAGTGACTGCATGTATAGTGTATGTAAATTAACAATCACGATTACGGCTATTTACTAGATGCTCTTCTGTTGTGTTAAAGCATTTCATTAACAGTTTTTGCGGTGCTGAGCACTGTAGCCAATCACAGACGAGATCACACCAGCTAACCAGACTGGTTTAAACTTCACAGAAGAGTTTTGTTCACTGACTCTCACTATAAACAACAAAGGCTGCGCCTAAAAGCTGAAAAATGCTCTCTGTTGTCAGGATACTGAAGCAAGACAACAAAGCACACCTGGATCAAATATTTGTAATGTCTGAGATGCTTTCATATGGCTTTTTAACAGTAGCATAGATTCATTCCAGAATGACAACAGTAAATCTGCTGAATACTTGTTTCATGACACAATCCTGAAATTCCAATGATCACTACAGCAATGTTACTGTTTTGTTTTACTGACATACAAATTAGTTTTTTGGTTTTAATGATTGCATGTTCAAAAAAACACCTCATTATTCCTCTCTGCCCAGTCTGTCCATAACACTGTTTCCCAAAGCCAACTATGGTTGATTTAGAGTTTAATGGAACTTGCGACCACAGTTGCCTAACGATTCTTATGAAAAACGCATCCCCGTTTAGTTCCTGTCTCTATGAAGCCCCTCCTTCTGAAAAGAACAATCTACTCTTATTGGTCGGCTGGACCAGTGTGTTGTGATTGGTCAAGCGCTTCGAGCGCGTTTAGGAAATATCCCGGCCCTTACCATAACCATGAGTTTCAACACACTACTAACTAACTCAACTAGACCCCACCCCTTTATTCAGCATAATATGAATTATTAAAATGAGGAATAATGTGACGTGATCGTTCCCGGAAGAAAACTCGAGACTGCAATGGAGGCGTTTCAGGGAGTTCAGAAACAGTGACACTGATATTCCATGAGTTGAAAAGGTCAAGTGGATTTTGCAGGAGGATAAGTGGACTGAAGTAACGGGGAGGGGTAAAGGGGGAAATGTTAAGAGCAAAAGGGGGAGCATGTGAAGTTTGGGTGAGATGCAGTCATTTGCAGAATTTATTAGTCACCCTTTGGAGGGACTTTGTGCTTTGAGACTTTGCAGACATTTTTCATGCCCAGACAGCAACATTACACACTAAAGACAGTTGAACTTGGAAAAAAAAGCAGAATAGGTGTTCTTTAACTCCACCCACTATTGCTCAGAAATTTTACCTTTAGTATAAATAGCATATGACCTATATTTACACATTGCAAGCACAGCATTTCTCTCTGTTTTCACTAAGTGTAACAAGATGCTAATGTTGCTATTTAAACCTGATGCAAATAGTATCAACATCTATTTACACTGACATCATTCATTTTTTGTCTGGTATTTTAATGTGAATTCTAATTATGAATATTATATATATGATTTTTGTCACTCTGGCTGTCAATAATAAAAATGAACACAATATAAAACGAATAAAACATATTTAAGGACTCACCATTGACAGTAACATTGTAGTTTGTGCCACTGTTGCGGCTGTTCAACGATAGCTGATATTCTCCAGAGTCTGTGTTTCTGATGTTTGTGATGGTCAGAGATCCAGTCTGATGATCCAGCTTCAGTCTGTCTCTGAATCTCTCTTTACACTGAACATCTGTACAGATCTTACTCTGATCTTTCATGATTTCAGCTATACGATTGCTATTAAAATACCATCTAATTCTGTCTTGTTGGTTCATTCCAACACCAGTGTTTAGAGTGACTGAATCTCCCTCTATCACTGACACTCGGTCGCCATCAGCACCAGACGCTCCTGAAGAAAAAAATGACATATTGGCACAGAGTTATACAACAGGAAAGTGCCGTGAAAAAAGTTTTTCTATAGGTCTTAAAGATATGACTGGATATGACTGGATTCACCGAGTGGTTCAAGCCACAGTGAATGTTTCTTCTTTTTTTTTTTAAATAAGTGAAACATGACTAGAAAATACAGATAAAATAGGACTGTATCACATTTGCCAAAAATACATGGAACTTAAACACCCATTAACTGCCGGGCTTGATCAGCCTGTTTGGCCAAATATGCCGTAATACGAGATCTTGTTACAGGTAACATGAGGAAAGTGTAAACATTGTTCATTTACGTATTCTGTTGACACTGCTAAAAATACTAAGCTAGATACAATCGGAAAGCATCCTTTTAAACTGTGCACAAGTTAAAGTGTCCGCATGTAGCGTTTTTTAAAGCTGCATGCCATGTGTGTAATGGAGGGAAGCACATTTTTATGACCGTGTCAGGACATGTGCAGGAGGAAACAAGCTTCTCACGTTTCAGAAACAACCCTACAACACATAAGTGACCAGATTGTCATTTGTAACTTCACACATGTGAAGGTGATAGAGATGATCTCAATTATAATGTAATACTAACTCAAAACAACTTAACAACTGTTTTCTGAAATTGCAATGGAAAATGCACTGAATGATTAAATGAGACTCACCAGTGACAGAAACACTGAAGCTCCTAATGACGCTGAATCTGCTGTTGTTGATGTGTAGTTTATATTCTCCAGAGTGTGTGTTTCTGGTGTGTGTGATGATCAGAGATCCAGTCTGATGATCCAGCTTCAGTCTGTCTCTGAATCTCCCGTCAAGAACATCACACTGTTCATCTGTACAGATCTGACTCTGATCTCCAGTGATTTCAACGATGAGAATATCATTAAAATACCACATTATCACATCATTTGGGTTTGTTACTACACCAGGATCTAAAGTGACAGATTCTCCCTCCTTTCTCTTCATTTGATCTAGTTCAGTAGCAGAAACACCTGAAACATAAATCAACATGAGACACTAAAAACTCACCAATGGAAATGATTTTGTTTTAATCAAACTGAATTAATGACCTTAACTCTACAAATTCCACTCTCACAGCAAGTATGTTTTTAAAGACATTATCTATATACTGTACATTAATTAATCTATCTTGAATTTCTCTGCAATAAAAAACAAGGATGCATCACACCTTAACTGGCTTTTAAACATCCACTAAACGACTCACCACGAACAGACACATTAAAGATTTTTTCTGTGTTGCGGCTGTTGACCAGTAGTTTATATTCTCCAGAGTCTGTGTTTCTGATGTTTGTGATGGTCAGAGATCCAGTCTGATGATCCAGCTTCAGTCTGTCTCTGAATCTCTCTTTACACTGAACATCTGTACAGATCTTACTGAGATCTCCAGTGATTTCAGCGATGCGTCTGTCCTGAAAATACCATTTAATTCGTTCTTTTTCGCCTTTTATAAATCCAGTGTTTAGAGTGACTGAATCTCCCTCCATCACTGACACATCTTTATCAACATCATACGAACCTAGATAAGAAATGTACAGTTCATTATAAGTCACTTCTGAGATAGGCTAATGAGACAAAGTGCTATGAAAATGTTTTGAAAATGATCCAGAAATGTGTCTGTATTCATAATGTAACATGCAGCAGAAAAACATCATTGATTCACACATTCACTCCTAAAACAAACATTATCTCATGGATCTCATGCAACTTAAAATAATACAAGCAATCCTGATTCATATCCTCACACGTACTTGTGCATTCATATATTCAAGATCACAGACTTAGATCCATGATAATATTGCTGCCTATAAACTTTAAACTACGAGTTTTCAAACCTGTAATTTTTGTCTCTGCACAAAACATTCTGTCTAAAATGTGTAAAACTATAACAATGTCATCGTAAACAGTTAAGAAATAATACTATTGTGATTTACAGTGTTAATAACGAAAATGAAGCATGACAAGCGCCATTTGTTTATTGTTTACTATAAGAGAAAGTGATGTCTTACTTACCAGGTACGATGAATATACTCAACGTGAGCACAACAAAGCCATTCATTTTCACCACTTTTCCACTGAAATGAATGCGGATTCTCTATAAATAAACGCGTTTTTTACTCTTGACCAGGGCGCCCGAGTGAAAGTTATTTAATATAAATTGGTGTGACGCCGAATAACCAAAGCGTAGGTCATAAACACAGTCAGGCACGTTCTCTCATTTATGTTTCTGTTTCGTCATGAAAACCGGTTACTGGGTAGGCTAATTCTCGTTTATAAGTGTGCTGTCAGTGGCTGGTTTAGATGCGCCTCGTCTCGAAATGTGGCGAGAGTAGAAGGTCAGGTGAGGGGAGGAAATAGAATAGTACAGTGTCAGACAAGTTTATCGGATATAAACTTCATGTAATTGAAGTTCTGTTACTTTCATATGAATATGAAAATATTAATATGATGAACAAGACATTTAAATTACATTTGTTAATCCCATCCTAAATAAGTGTTTTCCATCCTTTTTTAGTTGGTCACAAAAAAAAAATCAGTTACAGAGTTAATTGTTTTTTGAAATTCCCAATACACCTGTGACCTCATTTGATCAGCATATTTACACTGCAGGACTTGATGCCCAATTCCGATTTGTTGACTATATCTGACTATCTTTCATCTTCTTTTAAAAGTCATCCATATCCAATATTTGAATTTACAGCAGAGCGGGGCACAACCTAACACTTTTTGACTTTCTTAGTTTGTGTAAATTAGGGTTCAGAGTATTTATTTTTTCCCACATTAATTTCCCACGTCTAGTACAATTATGAGGTTTTGTTTTATTAATACAGTGTATACTTTTTTCTTGAAATACCCCGAAAGAATGGAAGTGAAATGTGACAACATGCCCCATAGGTGGGGTACATTGTAACATGACCACATGACAGCTTAAAATGCTATCTGATCTAATAAAAAAATATATATACCAGTCAAACTAAAATATTTTCTCAATAAAACATTTTTTTTTTTAACTTTTTCATATAGAATAATGGCATTTTTAATAATTAAAAATAAAAAAGGCCTATTTGTTGAGTTTGACAACGAACACGCCGGAAAACACAGTTAGTTCAAAACATAACAATAATGAATAACTTCTGAACATTGACTCCCAGTCTTTATTCACGTTTTTCTCATGTTTTCTCAATAGAATTCATAAAAGTATAGAATAGCATAGTTCTAATAGGGGCATGCAGTGTGACAACATGCCCCACCTGCACAACTGGGATTGAAACCCTGCTACTTCTGCTAGTTAGATCAGCATTAAAGAACCATATCAACTATTAAATACATATTGGAGATTAAAATAATATTGTCACGGTTCATGAATTCGCTGTCTCCTTTCTCGTCTTGTGTTGTTGTGTGTGCGTGGTCCTTTATCACTACGATCCCTATTTATTCTCACAGTTTTCGTCTTGTCTTTGTCAGATCGTTGTGGATGTTTCCCCGTGTGTTATTATCTCCCGCCTGTCTTCGAGCTTCCTGTGTGATGTCCGTATCCAGCATTGCAGTCATCTTCACTCTGTCATCTTCCTCTGCATTCCTGGTGTCCGGTCCCCGAGTCATCTCTGCTTTCACTGGACTTCCTTCTTATCACCACCTTGAGACTGGGTTGTTCC